AGTTTTACATCAAGATAACCATGACAGAACTCAGTCAAATTGTTTGCTGAAAGTTAAGTCACCAAAAATCCATACTTACAGCAAAAATGAGTTCAAACTGGTTGTCTAGTTTGTACTTGAGTGTCAAGGAGCCATGATTGAATGAGCTGGATCCACCACGCTCCTGAAAAACAAAATACATGTAAAATGCATTATTGGACTTTTTTCTTTCATTGTCAATGTAATTTCGTGATATTCTATTGTGGGCAGTGATGTCAATGAATTTCTTGTTACATGTACCGGTCGTTGATGCATTATGTGTCATGACACATATGAAATGCAAGTCAGTGTCCGTAGCATTATGCACCAACACATGTACGTGTGACATGAAACGTGACATCGTGGTAACTTCACAAGAGGCGCAAAATGACCTGTTTTTTCCTTGGTGAAGTAAAGTCCGTTCTAATTTGTAACTCTTTAGCGTCCTAAATGTGAACCATTCCCACGGTATTAGAAGAGTTTTGTTGGAATGGATGTTGTTACATGTAAATCTGGGAAGAAAAAGACTCAGAGCCAAAACTGAAATCTGACATCTGACGTGTCTGAGTGTCTTCAACTTGTACAGCAAAAGGCATGTACTAGGCTTCTGCCCTCAAAGCAAAGTTCCAGGTGTCATGAGCACTGGGCTCGATTTATTCAAGCGTCCATAGACCCTGGGTCAGGCTACTGGACTTCCTGAAATCTGGGAAAACATGCCATTTTTAATGAGGAGGTTTAATTTCACTTGCTGAACTGAATTTCTGTCTACATAAATTATAGCCTTCACTGGCAGAAGCAACAATGGATGGCCAAATTCTGAGTTGTTAAAGTGGCATTCTTGAGCATGCCCCATCATGGTCACTGATGGTGATGTGGCAGAGCCAGAAATAAGTGCTATTAAATACACATTCAGTTCCCCTTTAAACATATTTAGCTTTAGTTTAGAGTACTTGATTTTTGTAGTAGTGTGCCCCCTGTTTATTTCAGCCTTTCCCCCATAGCCACATGGTTTGGCCACACTCAGTGTAGCAGAGACCAGTCACCTTCACACGTATTTTCCTCCTAATTGGAGTGTGGTTTTCTACTCGAGCCCTAGTCTGCTAGAAGTCAGTGGTGAGTTCCTAACCTTTTCTTATTTACATGTATAAAGTTAATTTTTCCCTCTTTCCTCACAAGCAGTTTCTTAACCTGTTTGAATTCGGTTTTGGAGAACTCCCCAAACAACAAAAATCTCTAACTAAACCAACGATTTTTTAGGGAAAGGTTGCAGGAAACTGAATGAATAGGGACTCAGACACAAACTTCCAGCTTTTAAAAAAGGGTAAAAGAATGTATTTACAGAAACTAGCAGATGAAAAATCAATTCTAGTACTTACTGGAAGTTACAACAGGGATTAACATGTCATAAAATTAAAATTGTGCACAGGCCTATGGGGCTCATTAAGTATTCAAATCCCCTGGCAAGTCCAAATATACAATCAACTAAGGAAGAGAAGACAAAGAAAGGCATGTTCTGAGGCAAATGGATGGAAATACTTATACATTTGTGTATAAGTATTTATAAGTATACTAATGCTTAGTGATGTTCACATCACTAAGCATTAGTGATGTGAACATCACTAATGCACTTAGACTACAACAGAGTAAGAAAGAAGGAAAAATGAGAAAAATCACAGAAAAGGAGATCTAAAAGTTACGCAAAGTGATATTCATTGACACCCAAGGAAAACTTAAGTGAATCAGGAAACTAATTTTTAGAAAAAAAGATGGACAAAACTTGGCCTAAAAAGGTTTAGAAACTCGATAATCATGAGGAACAAATAAACAAGTATGATGAGAATGTTACACTGAGCATGGAGGTAGAATCTACCTCCATGCACTGAGTAAGTAAGGATAGCGAAGAAAATGCTGACTGGAACTAGTTTACAAAGATAAGGATAAAGAATCAAGAATAGAAACAAGACGATCTTACAGGCGAGAGCTTGGCTAGATGCGCTACAGTGAAGAATGCTGGACTCTACAGATGGCGAAAAACAGTTCAGTCCAACTCCTAGACGGTGCAAAAATGAGCTGCAACAGGGAATGAAGACCGCGTCCGATAAGAATGACCGGGCTCAAGACGAAACGGCGAGGGTGTGACGACCGTCGTATTTAACTTGATCCCATAAACTGGAACTGGATTCAGTTCACAAACTCTCCGAGTCTCTTCCAGAACCAAATTCAGCTCTGCAATTCACTTGGTCAGGACGAACTTTGCTTACAAGAATTAAGTGTCTCACCACAGACAACTCGCCACCGGTACAGGTTGAGATGGTGCAGAAGTCAACAAGTCAAAGACTTTCCAGTTCCCTTCCAAAATCTCCCCTGCGGTTTGTGTCTCTACGTGGTCTTTCTCTCTCTCACGGTCTCCCTGTCCTTGTCTGCGCTGCTTGATTTTTATGCAATTCTTCTGGAAATTTCGTCTCCTTACGTAAGTTTCTCAAAATTGACTCTTTAGCATTACTTAATATGCTTAATCTTACAAGAAACCTCCCGACTGTACACTACTCACTGGACAACTGGAAAAATTGTCAGCTAGCTTTAAGTACAAGGAATTTCCCGGATGTCCTCGAGATACTCATTCGCTGTGGTCTGTATGGGCGGCCAAAAGAGCCGAAATTAATTTTAACAAAAATAAACAATTACGAGCAAACAGAATCTTCTTATTCAAAAATCTAGATAATAAAACAAAAAACAAGCTCCAAAACCATTTGAGAAACAATTTATTAAAAAGTGTAATTGAAAAATTAAAAGTTACTTGTCACATAAAATAATTTCACCAAAAACGAATAATCACGGGGCGAACAACATTTTCTTATCAAAATGTAAATGGTAAAACACAAAACAAGCTCTAAAAAAATTATTACAGAAATAATCTAAAAAATAAATAACCAACATCTGAAAACAATACGCCCCCCAAAAGTTCCCAAAATCAAAACAGTAAATCAAAATAAGAAATAATAGAAAAAAGAAGTCCAAACCAAAGGTCGCCAGCAGTTTACTTCATTTTTTCACAACAAAGCCACATGTAAACGCAAATCATTTGAAAAATTCTGAAACAAATGTGGTTCCGACGTGTAATGCTTTATTTTTTGTAAAGTTAATTTTGCCCTTTTGGCCGATTTTGGCCTTTTTGGCAGCCCGGCGTATTTTTTAACAAACAAACTCAACGCGAATCAATGAAAAATTGTTAAACCAACTAACTTGGTTCCATCGTTGGGGGCGTCCTATACCATACGCAATCATTGTGTTGGCGAGCGCAGTCTTTCGATCTTGTCGCTCAATATTATTTGGCAATAATTTTGGCATCAGCTAATTGCCCTTTGTTTTTACTTAACATTATGGAAGACTCTTTCCAAAAGGGGAAACAAAATTGGAGAATTCTAGCAATATCTACCGTCAGCACAAAGCGCAATCTTCTTGGAATATTCCTGAAAAACCCCCGTTAGCAAAAGGATAAAAATCATACAATTGTTCCTTGAACCTTGGTTATACCAACGGTTTCCCTAATTTCCTGAGCCATAGGAATAGTTCTCTCAACTTTGGAAAACAGTCCGGGAAAAAAAATTGAAATCCATATGGATTTATGGCAGCCGAACTCCACTCCACCAAAGGAGACATGTATCATTACACATACCGTCCCAAGCCTGCAGTGCGCTGCGCCTACCAGTAGCTAGCTGTCCTCTTGCTGCGCTGGTACCATGGTATGTGTTCATTCATTTCATTCATTTCATTTCTCGGGAAGAACAAGTTACAAGAAACAAATACAAACACAATAAGATGAGGAGATAATAATTACAAAGAATATTCCAATCAGCCCCCGAAGGATTGCCCAAAGGAAATAATTTCTGTCAAAGGGGCTCTCCAAACTAATTGAAATAAATACAAAACATATACTACACTTATGATAAATAATTACTCTCTGATAAAAGGAATTAAGAATAAAGAATAAAATACAACAGAGAATAAAATAATAAATTTTTTTAAAAATAATTGTCCGTCTGTAAAGAAGAAGGAGAAAGAGGGGAATAGAACATTATGTTATGATTAGAAAGCTTGTGAGTTAGGTTCTCGGATAAACAAGTGGTCACGTAAAGAGCAAAGAAATTCCTTTGGAGACGGTTGAAGGCATATTCTGGAGGATAGAAGGGAGACTGTTGAAAAACCTGGGAAAAGAGACAAACAGTGAGTATTTAAGGCAGTTGGTCCGACTGTATTGGTGAATGAAGAGTAATACATCAGTTCTCCAAGTATTTGGCTGAGGAAGTAGAGTTGAAGAGACATCCATGTGTTTGTGGAGGTATTTCACTACAAAGCCATGCTCAGATAAGTCAGCCTGTTGTAGACTCGGGTGGAAGATTGAGTTCCTGTAAGCGCTGTTCGTACGAGAGAGTGTGTGCAATATTATAAGGTAAGCAAGATTTTGTAAATCTACGTTACTGTTTCAAGGCATTGAATTTGATTTTTGAGATAAGGGAGCCAGACAGGAGCTGCGTATTCTAAGACAGGTCTGCAAAGAGAAGAGAATAATTTAAGTAGTACATCTTTATTACGAGTTTTGACAGTGCGACGGATAAAACCAGAAATTGTAGAGCTTTTGGTACGAACCATGTCTACATGTTTGTTCCAGGTTAAGTCGTCAGAAAGTATAACACCAAGGTATTTATATGAGTGAGACACCTGCAGGGGTACATCGGAACCTGTAAAGAAAGTAAGGGGTCAGAGCCTGTTTCTTTGAGCGGGTTATTACTTTACACTTTGATGAATTCAGCTGCATGCGATTTTCTTCACACCAATCATTAATCAAGTTCAGATCTTCTTGTAAAATTGCACTGTAATTATTGGAGTTGATGATTATACGGGGTATATACGTATACAACCGTGTCGTCTGCATATTGGGGTAGCGGAGACTGTACAAGGTTTGCCAAGTCTTGCGGTGAAAAGATTGAATAAGAGAAGACAGGACCAAGGAATGATCCTTGAGGAACACTAGATGTTACAGGGATCCAGTCGGACTTGGCACCTGAAAAAATGACCCGTCGCTGTCTGTTGGTAAGAAATTTACTCAACCATGAAAGATGATTGCCACATATACCGTAATGATGTAATTTAGATAAGAGGAGTGAATGGTCACATTTGTCGAATGCCCTGGACCAATCAAGAAAGATGGCATCAATTCTCTGAGGTTTAGGTTTATCTAAAGTATGGGCCAAAGTGTCAAAAAGACTGGTCAGTTGAGTGGTACATGAGCGCTTAGGTAAAAATCCATGCTGAGAATCAGGGATAATGCTGTAGAGAGAAGAATGGTGGAGTAAACGCTTTAATATAAATCGTTCCAACATCTTACATGGAACAGATGTCGGAGAAATGGGTCTGTGGTTTGATGGTTAGATGGTTGCAAGAATTCTCCAATTTTACCTCCCCGTTTGGAAACAATCTTCAATAAATGTTAACCAGAAGCAAAGGGCAATTAGCTTATGTCAAAATTATTGCCAAATAATATTGAGCAACAAGATCGGCAACCCACTTGCGCGATCGTGGACATTGCCAATCGCGCCCGCCAACACAATAGTTGTTTATGGTATAGGACGCCCCCAACGATGGAGCCAAGTTAGTTTGTTTAAGAGTTTTCTACTGATTCGCGTTGAGTTTGTTAAAAAAAAAACCCGGGCGGCTAAAAGGGCCAAAGGGGTCAAAATTAATTTTACAAAAAATAAAGTATTATACGTCGGAACCAAATTTGTTTCAAAATTTTTCTCATGATTTGCATTTAGTTTTGGTGTGAATAATTGAAATAAACTGCTGGCGACCTTTAGTTTGGACAAGTTTGTTTCTTTTTTTTTCAATTATTTTGTATTTTCATTTACTGTTTTCACTTTGGGAACTTTTGGGGGGCATATTGTTTTCAGATGTTGGTTATTTTTTAAATTATTCCTTGTATAAATTCTTTAGAGTTTCTTTTGTGTTTTACCATTTACATTTGATAAGAAAATGCTGTTCGCCCGTGATTATTCATTTTTGGTGAAATTATTTTTTGTGACATGTAAATTGTAATTTTTTTGAATTGAAATTTTTAATAATTTGTTTCTCAAGTGGTTTTAGTGTTTGTTTTGTGTTTTATTATTTAGATTTTTGAATAAGAAGATTCTGTTTGCTCGTAATTGTTTATTTTTGTTAAAATTACTTTTGGCACTTTTGGCCGCCCATAGGTCTGGTGTCAAACGCGGATCACACACAGAATCGTGGGCGGTACCATTACATAATGTGCCATGCGTACATGTACATGTACGTACAGACACAATGTGTGTGAATGATGTAGTGAATACGTTGAAGCACAAGTTTTAAAGGGTTTGTGCACAGGATGTCAAGTGTATCTGGATATGGCACTCCAATTGTCATTTTGTGCCTACAAGTACAACATCTAATTAAAGAACTAGTAGCACTAGAGTCTCCCACAAGGTTAAGTAATATTAAGTTTTTAAAATAACATTTGGACATGGTCAAGCGATAGCAGAGCGATAGCGCCCTTAATACTTTATAACCTTTCCCTAGCTTCCGAACGTTCCGGAGCTGCTATTTTCCAATACTCAACTTCGTCTCTGTCTCAGGCTTCGTCCCCGAAACCAATCCCTGATTGTGGGCCTGAAACGTTGCAATCAAATTTGATTACTGTAGTTTTTTTGCTCTCTTGCATCTTATATGATGTTTTGTGACACTATTAGACTAATTAGTGCGCTTACAGCTTCAAAGTCAGGTAGTAAAAAACAGTTGAAGCCAGAGACGGAGCCGAAGTTGAGTATTGGAAAACGGCCTATATGTCGTGACTATGCGCGTGCACAGACTCTGCAGTATTTATTGGGTTGTGATAACATAAAGATGTCGTCGGCACCGATCAATGGTGTTGCTCCATTTATCGGTGTGCTCATGCATGGTATGCAGAATACACCTCATGACTTACGTGAGGTGGAGTGATGTACCGGCGAAATATCGATGATATAGTTGGTGCTATCACCGGTACGCGTGATGACGTTGAGAATTTCTCAGCATTTGCGGATGCTTTTCACCCAGCACTGCGCTACACATCTGATGTGTCACAACACTCTGTTACCTTGCTCGACGTGCGCGTCCAGATCTGAGCGCGGAAACTTGGCACAACCTTGCATTACCGTAAACCCACAGATTCCCACAGCTACCTGCCATACCAATCGTCTCACCCCCTCAAGTGTAAGAACTCCATCCCCTACTCTCAGTTTCTTCGACTGCGTAGGATTTGTAGTACCGATGCTGAGTTCTCTGCGCGTGGGAAGGAAATGCTAGGTTTTCTTCATCAGCGCGGTTACCCTCCGGCTATCACAGACGCGCTGCCTTCAACGCCGTATCTTCAATCCCGCGCGAAACGGCTCTGAAACCCACCGGGGCCAAGCAACGTGATCGCGTCCCCGTCGTACTCCACCCTCGAAACATCCCGGTACGTAATGTTCTTCTGAAGCATTTTAGTACATTCGGTAATGAGGCGGCCACAGCTTCCATTTTCGCCGAACCCCCGATTTGCGCGTTTAGGCGCGATC